TTGTAGCCCAGTGGCCGTGTTTTCTGTCGGCCACTGATACCACGGTTGTAGCCCAGATGTTGTGGTTTTGGGTCGTCTCATTGATACCAGGTTGTAGCCCAGTTGCCGTGTTTTTTGTCGTTCCACTGATACCAGGTGTAGCCCAGTGCCGTGAGTTTTTGTCGTATCACTGATACCAGGTTGTAGCCCAAGTGGCCGTGGTTTTGTCGTCTCATTGATACCAGGTTGTAGACCAGTGCCGTGGTTTTGTCGTCTCACTGGGGGGGAATACCAGGTTGTAGCCCAGTGCCGTGGTTTTGTCGTCTCATTGATACCAGGTTGTAGCCCAGTGTCCGTGGTTTTGTCGTTCTCACTGATACCATGTTGTAGCCAGTGACTCGTGGTTTTTGTCGTCTCACTGATACCAGGTTGTAGCCCAGTGCCGTGGTTTTGTCGTCTCACTGATACCAGGTTGTAGCCCAGTGTCGTGGTATTCTGTGTTTGTCTTGCTCTTCTCTGGTGGCTTAGGCGATGGATTTGTTCATCTATTTCAGGTTTCAGCTACATCATTTGACCCATCTTTCTGAGTCTTCCTCTCGCCTTCCTTCCAGATGTTCTGCTGTACAATTTTTCATATGCAAGTTTGGTCTGGCTGCATTTTCATTAGATGACTTAACCATGTAATTCTTTGTCAGATGACTTAACCATGTAATTCTTTGTCAGATGACTTAACCATGTAATTCTTTGTCAGATGACTTAACCATGTAATTCTTTGTCAGATGACTTAACCATGTAATTCTTTGTCAGATGACTTGCGTTGATTTCGCTAATTGTATCGAAAGCCGACAATAAAAAGAAACTCCGCAGGGGAGCATGTACAGTAGGAGTCTACCAATCATCAGTAGAAGTATTATCTCGTCGACAAATGTTTCGGCCCACGAGCTCCTAGATATTTTCAGAGAGTGAGCCCACCTGAGTTCATGAAGTTCAGGGTTGATTTTCTCACAGTGAACATAAAATTTCCTAGTAAATGCAAAAACATCGAGGGAAAAAAAAAAATACAGACATGCTAGGATTGGTTCTGCATCGTCCTGTTAGGCAGTGGTTCTCAAACTTCCGAATGCCGAGACCCTTCAATACAGTTCACTGTGACCCCCAACCATAAACATATTTTTGTTGCTACTTTATAACTTTAGGGAATATGTTTTTCGATGGTGAAAGAGTCGTTCGAACTCCAAAGGGGTCGCCACTCACAAGTTGAGAACTACTGCTGTAAGGAATACGAAACGTTTTTTTTTTTCACTAACTTACTAATACTTGATCCTGCAGCTGTCTTCTTCTTCTTCCTTTCTTCTTCTTCCTCTATTCCTTTCTTCTTCTTCTTCTTCTTCTTCTTTCTTCCTTTCTTCTTCTTCTTCTTCTTCTTCTTCTTCTTTTCTTCTTCTTCTTCCTCTTCTACTTCCATATCTCATTCTTCCTTTCTTTCTTTCTTTCTTTCTTCTTTCTTCTTCTTCTTCGTCTTCTTCTTCTTCTTATGCCTCTTCTCCTTCTTCTTCTTCGTTTTCTTTTTCTTCCTTTCTTTTTTTCTTTCTTCTTTTTCTTCTTCTTCTTCTTCTTTCCTCTATTTTTGAATTTGCCTTACAGCGTCAGGACAGGAAGAGATCTCCGGTACGGGCCCTTCTGTTCGCTTCATTTATAATACTTTTCAGTGTCTGTGATATTTATTTCTGCGATCCATGTTTTGTGCTGTCGACAACTGATTCTGTTACCATTGTAACTGTATAACATTTGCCTTCTGTGTTTCCCTGTTTGTTGTATCTGTAGTAGCTTTTAGTTGTCTACCTTTAATTATATTTTCACCTTGATTGCTGGTTTACTGACAGCTATGTGGTCGTCTTGCAGGAATGCCTCAGTTCTGTGCTGACGTAGAGAAGATGACAGGCGAGAAACCCAACCTTTACTGGAGAATCTGCTGGAAGTTTATCTGTCCGCTGCTGCTCATTGTAAGTTTGAGGTTTGAACAACGGATCAACATCATGGCACACGGATAGTAATCTATAAGTGCTCCGTTCTTCTTCTAACTCAAGTCTTGGTCCTAAGAAGCCCAGCACAGTGTACAGGCTCTGTAGCACTGGCGAGGATCTTGAAATACTTTGAGTAGATTTTAACTCTAAATTTTTGCCGGGGCAGTGCCGTTAGGCTACTCTTTTTGATATCGAACTGCCAATGGATTTTTTAACGTGCGCAACAATGCACACGGGCGTCCGATCTGACTACCCAGACACTGTGGGGAATTACTAGAAGTCCAAGTCCTCGTGGTAAAATCCCAGCCCTTACCGGGGATTGAACCCGGAACCTCTAGCGCTCGAGGAGGACACCCTGCCTCAAGACCACGGAGCTCCCTGCTTATTATAAGTTTTAAGTCAGGGTTGGCTCAGCAACTGGTAGGTCGTATCCTTGGCGGGGTGGTCAAGTTGTTTGTGTCGTGGCCTAAAGGTCGTGAGGTTCAAGTTTAGACTTAGCAGTACAGTAAAACAAAACAAAAATCGCTGATTCTAATGTGAGCATGTGTGAGTGTGTGTGAGCGAGCGAGCAAGAGAGTGAGAGAGAGAGAGTTTGTGTGTGGGAGAGGAAAAGGGGGAAGGGGGAGGTGTGGGTAACAGAGAGAATGTGTGTATGTTTGCCTAAAACTCGGGACTAATAATAATTGCCCAAGTTATGAAATAAAATTATAAAATTCTTTCTTCTCTTCTGTCCTCTATCCCCCCAAGGGAGCATAGCCCTCAACCAACTGACGCCAAGTCGTTATATCCTTCGCTATTGCATGCAGCTCTCTCCTTGTCCTTCCCACCATTTAAGCTTCACTCTCTAGCTCCCTTCTCCGCGTGTTTTGGTCTGCCTTTATTTCTATGCCCCTGTGGCTTCCAGTGCAAAGATATTCAAGTATATATTCCTCGGGTTTTCTCAACATGTGTCCTATCCAAAGTCACCGTTTTTCTTCACCTTTTAGTGCACTGGAATACGTTTAGTTCTCTTCCAAATCTTTACATTAGTAATTCTATCCTACCATTTAATTTCCTCTATTCTGCGCGATCACCAGTTAATGAATGTTTGTAGTTTACTAGTAATTGTTTTAGTTGTTCTCAATGTTTTCGGTCCATACAACATTACTGATTTGACATTAGAATTAAACATTTTATCTTTATTACTAGTTTATAATATATATATATATATATTATATATATATATATATATATATATATATATATATATATATATATATATATATATATATATATATATATTAAAACCACACATTTTCTCGTGCTACGAAAGCTCCTCTTACCTTTTGAATTCGTATTTTAATACCTGTATCAGTTGCCCCATCTCTGTCTACAACACTGCCCAAATAGATGTTCGACTCCACGTCTTGAAGTGGGATACCACTAAGAGATACTACATTACTATTTGTCTGATTTATTCTCAAAATCTTTGTTTTTTTCCTTTTTGGATTTTCAGACCAAGCATCAAGCATATATAATTTATCTGGCATCTGATTCAGTGAGTGGGACAGAAGAGAACATATCCTCAGTCCAGATCATCAAGCTGTTTTGTAGGGATCCACTAAATTCAATTCTTGATGTTAGCAGTTACTGTCTTTATAATCCAGTCTATTGCCATTACTTACTGACGATCTACCCCATCAGGACATCACACAAGCGATAAACACCCGATGACACAATGTGCCACCATGTGGATGAGGACCACCGTGGAAAGGTCCCAGAAACCGCGTTCAGCCATTAGGCCATATTTATGGATGGGCTATATTGCGGCCCCTGGCAAGAGCCAGAGTAGGGCTTCATATATTGCCATTTAAAAAAAGGAGGGGCGACAAAAACGTCCCTGTCGCACATCGGTTCTTATCTCAAATATTTCTTTTAGTTTTCCCTCAAGAAGGACTCGACGTTCCATGTCTTTATATGTTGCTTTAACTAATCTAATAATGTCCTGTGGGATCCCGTAGTGTCCAATCGATTTCGAGAGAGATTCCCTAACTATGTTGTCAAAAACTGTTCCATAATATATGAATCTAATGTAAAAGTTAAGGCCGCTTTTCCACGCCTTTAAGCGTTTGCGGAATAAAGAGCTAGACTTATATGACTGTACCCGATACCCACTCAAGACTGGGTCGAACTGAGAGTCGAAGTCATTTTTTAGAAGGTCTGGCTCCACCAGGGAGTGAACTTACGACCTTCCGATTCGCACGCGAGCGTCTAGCCTCTACGCCACGGCTAATGAATCTAATGTAAAGTGGGAGATTCAATTCAATGCTTTGCTCTATGATTTTGCGTACTTTGGCTACCTGGTCAGTACAGGATCTGTTTGGTCGAAAAACTACCTGTTAATCTCAGTTTTTTATCTATAGCATCTTTCAGTCTTTCTTAAATACTACTACTTAATATTTTTACAGGAACTGATAACATGATATCTCTAGTTTTCACACTCCTGTAGATCACCTTTTCTGGGCAGTTTCACAAGAAATCTTTTTCTCCAGTCTACTTCGGTCTCCAAGCCTTTCCAGAAAAATTGTGTACAAATTAATGTGGTTAGAATTGGGTTTTAAATTGGGCCCTTAATCTTCTGCTGGGATACCTCGAACGGGCCAGCGCTGGGTCACCGGGTTTGGGCTAATTAGCTTTTAAAGCAGCGGTTTTTTTTAAAAAAAAATAAACTACTTCGACAGGGGGGGAGGGGAGACACTTGAATTTTAAATTTTAAAAATCTAGATGCCTTCTTTAAACATTTCACAATTTCAGCCGATTTTTTTTTGATTATTGCCGGACACCCCTGGAATACGCTCTAGGGGCCCTTTGGGGGGGCCCGGCACCCAGTTTGGAAACCCTTGCGTTAACGCATCGTTTGCCCACCCGGGGACGTCAGACCCGGCCCTCACTGGGGCCTGCGGCCTTTTTCCTTCCTTTGACGACTGAAAACTTTTTCCCAATTTTCCGTTTAAAAGG